CCATGAGTGTTGCGTTTTGATGGCAGTGCGTCACGTCGAAAACACGTCTCGAGACCCCTGCGTACGTTCTGTCCCGTTCCGTCGCGCTCAGTATGTGTGAAGACGTCTTGAGGAGTTCGCCTTGCCCATCACACCCCTTATATAGGCATATAAACGGTCAAATGTCGAGCAACAGCGAATCGCCACCCAGATCCATAAAAAAAGACCCGGGGGATGGAGAAGCAGCCGAACACGGCTGTTTCCAAAAAAGTATTGAATGGCCAGAGGAATTCGGTCACCCCTCCCGTGAAAATACGTATTTGAGAGCGCGCACAGGAGCGGGCGCTCGCACTCCAGCTCTGCGTTCAGTCCCAAGCGCTTCTGACCGTCGCTCCTCTGTGGAAATTTCACTTTTGCAGCCGAACAACCCATAAGCAGCCATGGATGCCATTAAGAAGAACAATCCTCATTACACTGTAAAAAAAATTTTTTTTCGAAGTTGTAAATAAAACTTATTGGAGAAATAAACTATAGAAAAATACTACTTTTCTGTAGTTCTGCTTCAAATTACTCTTTCAGAGTATTTTTTTCTGTGGTTTATATATACATAGATGCCTAGATGCATAGTTTATATATACATACATAGATGAATAGATGGTTTCATGCATGCAAGCAAGAAAACTTTAATGCAAACACATTGAGTTTCAGGAACAATCTAACTGTTTTGAGCTATTTAATACAATTACAAGAGAACAGAAATAGTGCAAGACAACTGGTATTATATTTAAGACTGGGGTTATTTTAGGGAATTATCACATTATGTTTGACCACTTGTCTAAGTGTTTTGAAATTTGTAATTTACAGACTGGGCCAGGTGCTCGGGCATTAAGACAGCCCTAAAAATACTCCGAGAAGCTTGTCTAAGGAGGGGTAGGGCAGACTGAAGGATAACAGAGCGTATTCTGTGTGCTCAATATCCCAAAGAAACAAACTGAAGCTCCTCTTGCATCTATCATGGGATGCATAAAGGCACATTCCTGAGCCTGTTGATGACATTATATTAAGCCCAAGCAGAGTTTTTGTTAATTCGTATCGCGCAGAAGTGTTGAAACAAAGGCATGTTTGAGTTCTGATAAGGTTCAGACCAGACCAGTGATGAGTTATCATGAGCTAATGACACCTTATCAGTCTAAACGTGTCCGGAAATATGAGAGTTTGACTTATTCTTATACTACTTCTTATAACACTTTTCTGTGAGTTTGATGGATCTTTTATCCCAAATAACTTGTTTAGGACAATTCCGATGGAGTAACCTCAGGTCATCAGGGTCAGAAAATGTCACCAAAATTAAAAATGCCATTTTAAATAATTTTATCACAAGAAATTCCATAATATATTCTTTTTAATTGCAAAAACACCATAATTAATTATTTATTTTCTAAACTACTTTAGAAGGTTTTTTGTGGGGACTTTCATTATTCTAATTAATCATTTTTCAAATTAATTAATTAATTTTGTATTAATTTCTTGTGTGTGTGTGTGTGTGTGTGTGTGTTAGCCATGGATGCCATTAAGAAGAAGATGCAGATGCTCAAGCTCGACAAGGAGAACGCCTTAGACAGAGCTGAGCAGGCTGAGGGAGACAAAAAGGCAGCGGAGGACAGGAGCAAACAGGTCTGCGGTTTTTATGAGGACTTTTAAAAGTTATCCATAACGCGCACGCGCCGTTCCCGTGCGCTACTTGATAAATGGATTATCATGAGTGGATTTATAGTAACAGAAGAAGGGTAAAAAATAACGAATTCGAGTATGAATCTTTTCAATGTCAATTAAAATGATGTTAATAATGTTAACACGACGTACGATGACTCGCCCTTTTATTGCCATACATCTAGTGCAGAAAAATGTAGCCATTCATTTATTAACCCTCAATGTTCCATTGATACAGGCTTAACTACTGTCTTTACTCACTGTCGAATAATATTTCTGTTTCAACTAGATTTTCATCAGTAGTAGCCTATGTTAATTCAATTCAAAATCGTTTAAATGTATAATGACTGCGGGTTGCAGCCTAACCTTGGGATCACGTAAAACTAAGCTTTCAGTCAACAGTTTTAGTATGCTATTTTTTAAATACTGTAGTAATTATAAAATGAAAACCTTGTGTTTTCCCTGACCAAATCAAAACTCGTTTGGCAGATAGGCCTATGATTGATGCTTTAACCCTTTGTGGTATCATGAAGTACATGAACTTTTAAGAAGTATGATCCCAACAAAGCACATTGTAAAAAAAAAATTAAACAACCATGTTAAGTATATTTTTGAGCTATTAAAAAGGCCTTTGGGTCTCCACAAACTGAACCCCATGAAGGGTTAAAGAGCATGTTTAGTAGGCTATTTGTAGTAGACATATTTATTGTTTTAATAGCATTTCTAATAAAAGTTTACCTCGTTTGTTATGAAAACTGTCATTTATGCATGTGTAGTTAGAAGACGAACTAATTCAGTTGGAAAAGAGGTTGCGCGTAACGGAGGACGAGCGTGATAAAGTGCTTGAGGAGTACCAGAGCGTCGAGGAGAAGCTCCTGACCGCCGAGGAGGTCGCCACCAAGGTATTTTCCTGAGTGTTCATGTCTGAATCTTCCTAACTTTTCTTTCTTCCCTTCCCTTCTCTTTCTCTTTCTCTGTCGGTCTCTTTGCCCGCCACACCACGCGCACTCTGCTTCCCGCTCTTCACTGCTGTCAATCAATCACTCAAACACGCGCAGCTTGAGGATGACCTCCTGGCACTGCAGAAGAAACTGAAGGGCACTGAGGATGAGCTCGACAAATATTCTGAGGCTCTTAAAGATGCACAGGAGAAACTGGAACTGGCTGAAAAGAAAGCCGCAGATGTGAGTATATGGAGCATCACCGCTTTCACGCATCTTTTCCTGACACTTTTGGCATGCCACGCCTTTATTACTTACAGATAAGAGTCTGTTGTCAGTTGTCATATTTGAGGATGGTTGTTAATATTGCTTTCGGACCCTGGTTTCTCTTAGCCTATGAAACTTAACTTTTTTCCTCAGGCGTGAAAATAAAGTGACTCGTGAGCTATAAGACAAAAAAGTCGTCTGTGGCATGGTAGGCCTATTATAAACACAATCCGCATATCTCTGACCAAACATGGTGTATTAGTATAGGTATGCAAACATAAATACACGATTTTAATTTACAAGACGTGCATTCCAAGAAGAGAGTGAGCAGGCCGGCTGTTATATTTAGCCTAGTGCTTTATATGGCCAAGACTCAGATCGACTCCTTGGGCTCTGCCCTTGAGACTGGTCGACTGGAAGTCTTTCTTTAAAAATTGCCATTGATTCTTTTAGTTTCAAAACTAAACTGTATCCTGAGAAGTGCATGAGTAGACGTTCCAAAGTCTTGACAAGTATTTGCATAGCTTTGCATGATACAAGATAGTCCTCTGACCATCTAGCTCGAGCTTCAAAGAATCATTTGAACTTTTTTATGTTTCATTGATTCGTCATGCGTTATTCAGTAATTGAGAGATATTTAAAATAATATAGGCCTATGTGAGTAGAAATTGATTTTAACTCTTTTGTTGTGTTAAAATAATAGATCTTTGTAGTTTGTACTACGGTCTTGAATAGTGCACACTTGGACTCCCCCTCTTGTACATCAACAGAACTACAGTAAGGTGCTACGTTGTACTTAAATTTCAAATAAAAATTATTTTTAACATAAGTATAATAGTAATATAATATTATTGATGTTAATAAATTATATAATTATTTCAATATTATTTCAATAATATATAGTAGTATTAGTATAATTAAATTATAGTTTATTCTAATAAATTTGTTTAATAGTAAACAAATTACTATAATCATAACAATGTAATATTATTGTAACTATAATATTATTTTTGTTATAATATCCATGTAATACAATATCAAATTAGAAGAATCAGAATCAGAAAGAGCTTTATTGACAAGTATGTTTGCGCATACAAGGAATTTGTTTTAGTGTCACAAGCTTCCAGTACACAGAGACAACAACAACACACAGACAATAAAAATAAGATGAGAATAAAAATACACACACATGTAAATATAAATAGACAAAAACAGAAAAAATAAATAAAATGTAAAAATTAAAATATATATAGTATATAAAATGTATACATTTAAAATACTAATATAATATTATTAGTTAATGTTAGTAAATTATATATTATATAAATATAATATTAATATAATATTTAGTTAATGTAATAGTAATAAATTAATATAATCATAATAATGTAATATTCTGAGAATACTTTGTTTTTGTCATAATATCTATGTATCACAATATCAAATTGTTATATCTAGCTAGCTAGCTAGGCTATCTCTCTCTCTCTCTCTATATATATATATATTTAAACAATTTGATATTATTTATTAATGTCAATAATTACATTAATTTACTATGTAATATATATTATATTATTATATAATTGTATAATTATAATCTAAATTACAATTTATTCAAATAAATTAATTAAATTGTAATAAATTAATGTAATTATAATAATATAATATGAATCTTAGGTCGAATGTGAATCTCTGGTCGATGCTGTAATTATCCCTATAGAGGGCGCAACAGAACTAAACAACTACATTCGAGGCACAGAACAACGCGCCCCCTCCCCTTGAAGCTATTCTATATTTAGCAGCTCAGTTTCAGCACCAGCACTCCAGTCAGTTACCCATCAGGCTATTGATTAACGCATTCAGGTGTGCAACAGGTGCAGGATGTAAACATGTATTGCACATCCTCCAAATGACTTTGAAGTAAACTGCTATTTAAATGATTTGATCAAATATGTTTTTCATGAAACATATTAAACATGCACTGCAGTTCACCTCTTGTATGTCTCACATGGAAATACTGTTCGCTGAAAAGCGGCAGATAAGCCCTAGTTCATGGCAATGACGTCGTTTGGGGCTCGCCTATGAAAACATGGTTACTTCCGGTGTGATCTGAAACGTCGCTCCGCGTCTTCGCGCACACACAAATCAGGGGCAGCAGCGTCTCTGAGCTGTGTTCATCTAAAGGAAACGCGTTCAAATACGAGGCTTTTAGTGGTTACTTAGAATAACAATGGCGGCTACATCGCTGGAAGCAGTCAAACGGAAAATAAAACTGTTGCAAGATCAAGCGGACGGCGCTGAAGAGAGAGCGGAGAAACTGCAGAGGGAATTGGCGCTGGAGAGGAAAGCCAGAGAAGCAGTAAGAACGCCGAATGATACAAAGTATAAAGTGCATGTGTTGAAATGCGCCGCGCTGCAGTGTAACGTCGCTCGCATTCCAGGCGTTCCTATGTGCGTGAGTTCATTTAAACAGCGGCGTATAGAACGGATACGATAGTGCGCGCGGTGATGTGCAGCGTGAACGTAGCGGAACTTCTCAGACGCCCTCTACGCACTGTTTACCAGCCCGTTAAACGGCGACATTTGTATCACGCCCGTTTTTTAATAACTTATCAGTTCTTACTTCCAACAAACAGGAAACGCGAATTAAATGTCTGCCAGTGTGATTATAAACTGACGCATGTAAATAGAGTTTAAAGGTGCTGAATAATTATATCCGATTCGTATCCGAACGAGTTGTTCATTTGAGTCGGATCTTGAAAATGAATCGGTTAAACCGGTTCACCAAATCGGTCTGATTGATTAGTTCACGAATTCGAGCAGTCAAACGGAAAATAAAACTGTTGCAAGATCAAGCGGACGGCGCTGAAGAGAGAGCGGAGAAACTGCAGAGGGAATTGGCGCTGGAGAGGAAAGCCAGAGAAGCAGTAAGAACGCCGAATGATACAAAGTATAAAGTGCATGTGTTGAAATGCGCCGCGCTGCAGTGTAACGTCGCTCGCATTCCAGGCGTTCCTATGTGCGTGAGTTCATTTAAACAGCGGCGTATAGAACGGATACGATAGTGCGCGCGGTGATGTGCAGCGTGAACGTAGCGGAACTTCTCAGACGCCCTCTACGCACTGTTTACCAGCCCGTTAAACGGCGACATTTGTATCACGCCCGTTTTTTAATAACTTATCAGTTCTTACTTCCAACAAACAGGAAACGCGAATTAAATGTCTGCCAGTGTGATTATAAACTGACGCATGTAAATAGAGTTTAAAGGTGCTGAATAATGATATCCGATTCGTATCCGAACGAGTTGTTCATTTGAGTCGGATCTTGAAAATGAATCGGTTGAACCGGTTCACCAAATCGGTCTGATTGATTAGTTCACGAATTCGACTGAAGTGCTGTGAACCGTCTAAACGACAGTTAACTGACTTTCTCTTAGACCTGTCCGACTCATAATAGAGCGAATTGATAGACGGGAACCGTTTCGTTCGAACATGATCGATTCAATTAGTGACCTGATAATGTAAAGGGAAATGATATCAAGCATTCAAAATCTGTTTTAAAAAAATATATAAATTGCAGAAACTTTCAGCTAGGAGATTAAAAATACATTTTGGACTAAATTTGTAAGTTTGTTTACTTTAAATGCAAAGTCATGCTAGAGTTTGACTAATTTTATGAACTGAATCGTGGCTGCAAACTGAATTAAGACTAATGAAGTTATATTAAAAAACACTCATATTTAAATAAATAAATAAGGAATCTCTGTGATTCAGACTCTGTATTGAAATTACGTCTGAATGTCTAAGAATTATTAGTGAGTCGTTTTTGAAACGGTTATTTGAATGGAACCGTTCGAAAGAATCGATTCTCGGAAATGAGTCGGACAACAGAGTTGTTTTCACCCCAAACTTTGAGATTGCTGACGATATCTCTGTGCAAGGCACATCCCTGTGTTTTCAGTCTGTTCTCTTGTTGGTCGTAATTGGAGAGTCTGGTTATAATCCAGCTAGTTAAATTGTACTCCTGTGAATGGGTCCTTGTTTGATGACTTTTATGTTGAATCAGAGGCTCTGAGTGTAATCATTTTAGGCTAATAGCCTACAGCAGTTCAGTAGTGATCCTGGACAGAACTGTTGATGTGGGCTCTGCTGTAGTGGTTTTATCTTAATGAATAGGAGAGTTGTGCTGCTTCAGGCTCTATGTTGACATCTCAGGAAGTATTTGAGCACTTTCCCTTATATGGCCAGTCTGCATCGTCACATACAGTGCGACTCATCTTAGTCATGCTGAAATAAATAGTGATGGCTCTAGTTATAGATATGTTATAGTTATATCTAGGGCTAGGCGATATGGCCAAAAAAAAATCACGATAATTTTTTTCATATCAGTCGATATCGATCATTATCACGATAAATGTCAAATCTTTATTTCTTTCAAGTTTAAAGCCAGATTTTTGTTCCAAAGTGAAAGTTGTAGAAACCAGACCATTAATTAGGGCTCATCATGATGATTTAGCAAATTAAATGGAAAAATAGACAAATTAATTTCTTAGTTTCTGCATGTTCTAGTGAGTGATATTGTTTCAAATAAAGAAACCGGTTTAGGTTGCCTGATAATATTACAATATTATAATATAATATTATAATATGTTCCTATGGCTCAGTGGTAGAGCATTGCGTTAACTGTGCAAAAGGTTGTGGGTTCGATTCCCAGGGAACACACATACTGGTAAAAAATGTATAGCCTGAATGCACTAAGTCGCTTTGGATAAAAGCGTCTGCTAAATGCATAAATACATTTTTTTTATTATTAATTATATTAATAATAATATAACTTTTTTGTCTCTTAGAAAATGTAATGAGTAAATCCATGGTAAATGATGGCGATGTGTAGATTGAAAAGCCTTCTGACTGTATCATTGCACACAGTGTTTCTCCTGTTTGGCTCTAAACTAGTTTAAATCACAGAGTCATTTGTGTTCATCGCTGAATTCAAGCGCTTCACACTGGATCTCACAGCGCTGTTTAGTGCTCACGTGACCAATTAAACGCATCTGCTCTAGTTAGCTTGCGCCGCGCGGCAGCTTGAACTGTGATCCGAGCGGATAAACGGTCCGAGTGGCGCGATTCAAATGAGTCGCGCTGTTTCGTTCCGCTTTTGGCGCATAAACATTGTCGAACATTTATCAAACTCTTCATATCGTTTTATCGAGGAAAATTATATTGCGATAATTATCGTTATCGAATTATCGCCCAGCCCTAGTTATATCTACCTAGTTATAGATAGATATATAGATATCTAGTTATGGCATTGATAATCAGTCTCAGTCTTTTCTAAACAATCATACTTAAGACTCTGGGCCCTTTAAGGAAATGTAGCAGTTCAGTGCTGCCTGTCAAGGTTATCTGTATTGCTTTCTAGTTTTTCATATCTCAGCTGACAATATAACATGCACTTTGTCCCACGTAAGGCCTTTGCTTATCGCTGGACTGGGACTTAAGCAGAGATTATTTGTTATGCATGCTATAAAAACATAAATATACACTTCTTTTGATGATGTAACAATATTGTATATTTTAAAATATCTAAAAATATATAAATGTCAATTCATTTAGCATGAGTTAAAAGCCAGTCTTATAGCCCAGATTTTTTATTGGATGTAATGTGGTGACAACACATTGAAATGTCAAAAGTTGAACAAAAGTAATGTGGCGGATGAGTTTGTTTAGGGCTGGATTTCACTACAGATGTTCACATTAAGTTTGATTCTGATTCAGAAGCTTTTGATTTCAATTTGATTCAGGTCCGATTCTGTTTTATTAGATTCTGATTCATTTAGGTAGCCTATATTACAATTAAAAAAATTTTGAATTGTGTGTGAACATCTGATCTTGAGCATTTATGCCAGTTCCTCTGTGCTCTTCAAGGCTGAGGGTGATGTAGCTTCCCTGAACAGACGTATCCAGCTGGTTGAGGAGGAGTTGGATCGCGCACAGGAGCGTTTGGCTACTGCCCTGCAGAAGCTGGAGGAGGCCGAGAAGGCTGCCGATGAGAGCGAGAGGTTAGTACAGTACTGTGACACTCAATTTACCATAACAAAGAATGGTGTAGTACAGTCTATCCCGTTTTATAGTGAAATGAAATGCGGTAGAAAAGTCTACTGACAACCTGCTTTACAATTGTGTAGATATATCAGCAAGGTCATTGCTGTGCAGGACTAGTGGAATTTTGTGAATGAAGCTTAAGAGTGAATCATTCATGTTCACTTTTCATTGGCGTTTTCACTTACATTTTGAGATTTTCATTGAGAAGACTGACTATAGCATAACATTTTGAGTGTGAGCTGAGGACCATTTGATTGGTTGGACTTACTGAACGAATATGCTCTTCATTAAATTAATCGATCACACTCAAAACAACTTACTTGTGCGCAAACTGTCTGAACGAATCTCGTGTGTGAATGAGCAAAATGAATGTGGTATCTCATCATCGTAACTCATACACAGTAAAATCATCATAACTTGATTAAGCATCTTTCTTGTGAGTGAACCGAATAACGCAGTATTTTGTTTGTGAAGAAACCGAATAAATGCAGTATCACGTTTGTGAATGAACTGAACCAAATGAATGTAGAATCTTGTTTGTTGGCAGTCCAAACCTAATGAATTTGGTATTTTGTTTGTGAGCAAACTAAATAAACAGTGTCTTGCTTGTGAATAAATTGAATTAACGCTCCATTTTGTGTATAAACAAACCAAATGAATGTAGTATGTCGTTAGTAACCGAATGAACGCAGAATCTCGTTTGTGAACAAACCGAATGAACGCAGAATCTCGTTTGTGAACAAACCGAATGAACGCAGAATCTCGTTTGTGAACAAACGAAACTGAATGGACACAGTATCTTGTTTGTGAGCGAACCAAATAAACGCAGTATCTATTCTAACTTGTGGCTGAATTGAATGAACATGGTATTTTGTTTGTAAAGAACCCAAATCAGTGTGGTGTTTCATTTGTGAGCAAACTGAATGAATGCAGTATCTTACTTGTGAACGAACCAAACTGAATCGAATGTAGACAGTATCTTGTTTGTGGGTGAACCAAATAAACGCAGTATCTTGTTTGTAAACAAACTAAACCGAATAAATGCAATATCTCACTTGCAAATGAATTGAGTGAATGATTCACTGGCTCGTTATTGAACAAATCCTTGAATAAATCATTTTGGTGAATGATTAAACTTTTTCAGTCACTGGGATGAATCAAAATCACAACAAAACAACTTTTTCTGCATGTGAGACTAAAATTATTTATAATAATTATCTGGTTTATTTTTATCTTGACTGTAACACATAATGTGAAGCTGATTCCATACTTATTTAATTTGTACTATTAATCTTATCTTGTGCATCACAAGTTACAAACAAACAAAAAAATCAAATGAAGGACCTTTGAATACTTATTTAATTCTCTGGATTGTCCAAATATATACATTTATCTCATGCTTATTAAAACACATACAGTGCATGTGTACAGTGCTATAGCATGCAGTGGTAATATAAAGTAAATTGCAATTAAGTGTAGCATTCTGTAGGACTGTCAGTCTGATACACTGAAGCAGAACAAGTCAGTTGAGCAGGTCCACACCCCGTCCCTCCCCCTCTCGCAGTAACTGTGGTTATTGTGTGCAGCGCCGATGTGTTGCTATTGAAATGACAACATGCTGCCACTTCCTAGCCTGCACCGCACATCTGGTGCCCTGCATAAAGACTGTTTGCGTGTGCTGAGGAAAGTCCATATAATTTGCTAATCACCAGCACCGCGACCCTACAGGAGTAGTTCATAAACTTTATAGTTATGTTTCGGCAAGCATCACTATTATTATTATTGCTTTTCAGTTGTGGGTTTATTTATTTTAGTTTTAATTTGAAATATATTTTAATATATGTTAATAAAACATTTAAACATTTATGTTTATATATATATATATATATATACATGTATGAAGAGTTAATTTGCAAAACCGGTAACGCCATTTTTATTTTATTTTTTTCAGAAATCGTGTTTTTTTTTTTGTTTTTGTTTTTTCGCATTCCAAGTAATATCAATCAAACTGCATTTGGGTTGTTTTGATTAAGTAATAATAACTTAAACAAATACAGGTAATTTACAAAATTAAAGTTCATTGAAAGTGTTTTTTTTTTTGCGTATTAAAAGTTTGTTTTATAGCAAAAGCAGATAACTCCAACAGTCGTTTTTTGGCAAAAGCAGATAACTCCACATTTCATGTTTTAGAGTTAAAAAAAA